GGCATGCTGCTGCTGCCCACGCGCAGCCCCATGCTGCCCGGTGTGCCCATCCCGGACGTGCCCCCCAAGCTCCCCGCACTCCGCGCCCCCGACTCCTCGCCGCCCCACGTCTGCGGCGACAGCGGCATCCCCCCCTCGGGCAGCGCGAGCCCGTCCATCCCGCGCTGGATCCCCACCGTGCGCAGGCGGTCGACCCATCTGTGGCGTGGCGCAATCAGTATCAAGATAGGATTGATGCAGGGAATGAAGAGAGAGCACTCACGCATCGGCCCTATCCAAGCTATCCCCCACAACCGCCGTCACCCCCCCGCATCATGTCCAAGCTCTCCGTCGCGAGCGTCAGCACCCTCCGTGCCGCCGCAACCGCCTTGCTCGCCTCCACCTCCCCGGACGCCGACCCGTGCTGACTATGCCCCGCGCTACCCCCATGTCGATTCCGCAGCGCCTGCGGACTCCCCGGGCGCGACCCCACAGGCGACCCCGGGCTCGACACCCCCGTCCCGCGCTCCCTACGCATCTCCCGCCTCGCAGCCGTCCCCGTCCCCGTCGCACTGCTCCCACTCGCACCCGCACTGCCCCCGCCCGCACCCCCACCCGCCGCACCCGCCGCCGCGCCCCCCTCCCCAAACCTCCTCGGCAGCTCCAAAATAAACCCCCGCACCCGCCCCCGCGCCGGCTCCGGCAACGCCCCGCCCGCATACTTGCTGATCACGCCGACGACCTGCCGGATCGTGTGCACGATGTCGCTGCGCAGGTGCGCGAGCGTGCGCAGGTGGTCCGGCGTGATGTGCTGCGGCTGGTAGTCGGGGTGGTCGGGCGGGTATTGCGCGTCGCCGGAAGAAGGGTCGCCGAGGCTGGCGATGAAGTCGCGCAGGATGAGGATCTGCGCGTCGATGTGCTGCGTTGCGTACTGGGTAATGGAATCATGGATTAGTGTACGGTCAATCGTTTGTAGAGCGGAGAAGGAAGGAGAAGAAAGAGGGGAGAAGGGCGAACAGGCGGCCAGACTCGCGAGGTCTGCGCCCCAAGTCTCTCCCCGTCCCCAGAAAACGTACGAAGCTCAGACAGAAAGAGCGTGCAGGAGAGCGCTCCCAGGCCGACCCCAGGCTTGAGCCACTGAAGCGTACTCCTCCCCCAACGAGGTCCCAAGCACGGAAAACGATACCGCTCCGAGCACCCCGCTGCGAGGAAGAGGAGTCCCGCCCACGCAGACGGCAAGCCCCACAATCACACGGACACGGAGAACACCTCCAACGCGGCGAAGAATCCGCCGCACCGCTCCGCTACCTCCCTCGCAGCCGCAGCGAATGAGCAAAACGACACGCGGATACGGGGGAGGTTGCCGTACTCGCGAGCTAGCGCGCACCAAACGGCTCCGCACCCCCGCCCAAAAAAAATAAAAAATAAAAATAAACCTCCCGCACCTGCAACCACCCCAGCACATATCTCAACCTTCTCATACTCTCGTCGCTCAGCGCCGCGCTCAACCCGCCCTGTATACAAATAAAATAAATAAACCGTCAGCTTCAGTCCGGTCCTCACAAGTGAAAAAGAAGTGAAAAGTGGGGATTAGGATGAAGGTATGAATACTACGATGGACGATGGAAGGATGTGGATCAAATGAAAGAAAAGAGACGCACCGCCTCGAGCAGCATCGCATGCCACCGGCTGCGCTGCGCGACTTGGTGTTGCTGCTGCTGGCTATTATTATTATGTTGTTGCTGCTGATGATGATTATTATTCGCATGGTGGTGTTGGTCGTCGGGGTGGTGGTGCTCGAGCTGCAGCGGCGGGAGGATGCGGTGGTGGAGGTGTGCCCCCGCGCCAGAAGAATCGAAGTGCCCTGATCCAGACCCGGATGCCTCGAACGGCGGGGGCGGGGGCGGCGCGGCGACGAACGGGGAGGTTGCTACAATGCGAAAGAGGGGGTGTTAGCGTGTATGATGGGGCAGAAGACGAAGCAGGGAGGGAAGGAGGAGGACGATAAGGACAGAAAGATCGAAAAAGGCGATGCGTGTACCGAGCAAACAGAAGAGGATGGATGTCAAAAAGAATGAATGAAGACGACGCTGGAAGAGCCAGGGCAGGCGCGCATGTCCCGCCCAGCGCTCACGGGCGGCCCTCAGGGGAACAGACTGGGCGGCAGGTACAAACAGCGCCGATGCAAATCTCGCCACATGCGGCGCGGGTCCAGGTGCGCGCGTATCCGTCTCGTGTCGCGCCAGGCGGCCGCGCATCCGAGCCGTCGTCTCGCTGGTCAGGTACAAGAGCGTCGCATGCTCGACGACCACGCACACACCCGCGAAGAAGGTGGCTCGAGCTCGATATCCGCGCGCCCGACGTTCGCCAAACGCCGCACCGCCCACACCCAAACGCTCCGAGGTGTCGTCTCGCTAGTCAGGTAGGCATCACAAGACCCCGAGCACACCAGACGCGAGCCCGTAACGCCCAGAACCACAAAGGAGGGCGCGTCCAGAATCAAAAATCGCATCCATCCGCTATACGCATACGCAGACACGCAACGCTTCCCGTGGGCTCGGCTCGGCTCGTCCCAACCCACAGCAGGGCGGAGGAGTCTCCACAAGCACGCCGCGCCGTCCCCCTCTCCCTCCCCCCAAAAAGGGAAAAAAAACCCCAAAATAAAACAAACGCACCCTCCAACCACCCCGGCACCGCGCCCTTGTCCGCGCCGCGCTTGCGCTTCCCCTTGCCTGGCGCGCCGCTTATACTTGTACTAGTGCTCCGCTCGTCCCCGTCGGCGTTGTTCATGTAGCCATCGCCATCGCGCGAGTTCATGTACGCATTGTCGTCGTCGCGCTCGGCCCCCCTGTACGCAGGCGTAGACGTCGAAGACGAAGTAGAGGCAGACCCAGACCCAGAAGGCGGTGCATCGAACGAAGGGGCCGGCGAGCCATCGAGCGTCTTGCCCCTGCGCACCGGCGGGGCGGGCGCGGGCGCGGGGGAGCCGCGGTATTTGTCCAGCTGGGGGAGGGGGGGTGAGTCACGAGTACGAGTCGGAGGGAAGGGAATAGAGTAGGTGGAATGGAAGGCGGAGGGGGTGGGCAGGAGGGGCGGTGATCCGATTTTTTCTCTGAGAAAAAGTAGGAAGGGATACATAATGGGCGATACGACGGGCGTATGGGCCGAGGGCGATTGACCATGGATCAATCACATGCGGCGAGTCGGGGTGCGATCGATGCAATGCATGCGCTGAGAGGCGAGGGAGAAACACGGGGTGATGCGCGCGCGCGTGGGGTGCGATGGGATGGGATGGGAATGGAGTGGGACGGGATGGGATGGGATGAGAGCAAGAGGAAGGAAGGAATAACAAAAAGAGACTAGAACTCACCCTATCCAACACGCCGCCCGCAAACTCGTCCATGCGCTCGCCCGAGCCCGCGGGCAGCCGACTGCTAGCGTGCCGCAGCGACGTGCTCACCAGCGTCGAGGTGTACTGTCGCAAATTGAATTAATTATCGATTAAACATAAAAAATCGGGGACAAGAAACGCGCACCTGCACGACCCGCGAATTGGCCTTGCCCGCCTCGTACACGCGCAGCGCGCCGCTCACGAGCGGCAGACTGGACATTCGCGCGAGGCTCGAGTACGGCTGTTGTGTGGCATCACGATCACGATCACTCTGCTCCTCGCCGTCGGGCGGCGGCGTGCGCGGCGGCGACTCGGACGGGTGCGTCGACGCGAGCGAGAGCGACAGCGCAGGTGTGTGACTTGTACTGCTCCGTGGTGAGTTCCTTGAATGCGAATTTGGGGTGGGAGTCGCGGTGGGGAATGCGAATCCTAGTAGTATTATTCCATTTGAATACCAGTACTGGTAAAAAGAAAGAAAGGCGCACCGCTGTTATTATTACTATTACCCTCAGGCTTCTGCTGGGCCCCGCTGCGCATGTCCCCTAGCGCGCGCACCGCGATCCGCACGTCTTCGTCCTCGAGCTCCAGGTTCATTGCCCGCCTGCGTTATTCGTAGTATTCCTGTTCGTGTTTTGTATTGTAGAATCCCGGAGAGGAGACTGGGCAGCCCGTCGTGGTCGTGGTGGTCGTGGTGGTCGTGGAAAGACTCTGCCTCACGCGGGCATGTGTTTTTTCTGGGGGAGACACCAGCATGTGATATACACCCGCAAATAGCTTTATTTTAGGCTGAGTAAGGATTTACTATTAGGCTGTTCGCCGCGGCGAGAGATATGATTAGATCTGATTAGATGCGAATCAGCAATTAAATTGAGTGGATCTGAAAGGGGACGGAAATTGTGGAAATAAAAGGAGCGACGGAGGAAGGACAATAAGCCTTCGTAGCGCATGGTGCACACCTCACTCCAATTCCGCGATGTTTCTCTCGTCATGAGGACCGGGGTTCGACTCCCCGCGAAGGCATGGTTTTGAAGTTACCGAGTTTTTTTTTCCGCCATGCGGGAAAGCGAGTTTAAAACAAAGCACACAGTAAGCACAATAAGCTTTCGTAGCGCATGGTGCGCACCTCACATCCATGTAGCGATAACCGTGGACGGTTTATGAGGCTTGGGGTTCGACTCCGGATCCCCACGAAGGCTTATCCGAGTAGTGTTGTTTTTTTTCCCTCCGTGCAAGACAGTGACGTTTAAAAGAAGGTACAAAATAAGTAGAATAAGCTTTCGTAGCGCACGGTGCGCACCTCACATCCATGCATCGATAATAATGGACGGTTTATGAGGCTTGGGGTTCGACTCTCCACGAAGGCATGTATGGGCTGTTCATTTCACCTTTTTTGCCCCTACCCAACCCAGCAAGAAAGTGAGGTTTAAAATCGGGCTCAAAGTAAGTACACTAAGCCTTCGTAGCGCATGGTGCGCACCCCACATTCATCATGAGCGACATATCAGTTTATGAGGTCCGGGGTTCGACTCCCCACGAAAGCATGGTGTTGTGTTGATTAGCCCTTTTTTGCCTCCCACCCAACCCTTCAAGAAAGTGAGGTTTAAAATCAGGTTCAAAGGAAGGCAAATAAGCCTTCGTAGCGCACGGTGCGCACCACACAATCATATCTATTAGCTTTCAGCCTTATCGGATGTATTGTGGATCGGGGTTCGACTTCCCGCGAAGGCATAACTGAGCTGATCGAGTTTTTCTTTCTGCCACGCAAGAAGCGAGTTTGAAACAAAGCACACAGTAAGCACAATAAGCTTTCGTAGCGCACGGTGCGCACCTCACATCCATATAAAGGCTCAGTAGGTGTAATGAGGTCCGGGGTTCAACTCCCCACGAAGGCTTGTCAGAATTTGATGATTTTTTTCCCCTCCGTGCAAGAAAGTAAGGTTAAAAGAAGCTGCAAAATAAGTATAACAAGCCTTCGTAGCGCATGGTGCGCACCTCAGTTTCATAGCTCAGGATTGAGTGTGTGTGATTTATTGAGGACCGGGGGTTCGACTCCCCACGAAAGCATGACTTGTACAAGTTATATTTTTTGCCCTTTTTTGCCTCTCACCCAACCTTTCAAGAAAGTGAGGTTTAAAAGAAGGTACAAAAGTAAGTATAACAAGCCTTCGTAGCGCACGGTGCGCACCTCACTCCAATTCTGCAGATACCGGGATCTGATCATGAGGACCGGGGTTCGACTCCCCACGAAGGCACAGTGGGCTTTCTGATCACCCTTTTTTTTTGTCCTACTCACCCTGCAAGGAAGTGAGGTTTAAAAGAAGGTACAAGGGAAGTACTACAAGCCTTCGTAGCGCACGGTGCGCACCTCACCTCAATAATTATCTTGGGCTCTAGTGTAATGAGGCTGGGGGTTCGACTCCCCACGAAGGCATAGTATGGATTTCTCGGCTTTGTTTTTGTCCTACTCACCCTGCAATGAAGTGAGGTTTAAAATCAGGTTCAAAGGAAAACAAATAAGCCTTCGTAGCGCACGGTGCGCACCTCACTCCAATCCTGCCCCCCAAAAAATCCGATTATGAGGACCGGGGTTCGACTCGCCACGAAAGCATAGTTAAGAAAGAATTCGCCCTTTTTTTGCCTCCCACCCAACCCTTCAAGAAAGTGAGGTTTAAAATCAGGTTTAAAGTAAGTGCAGCAAGCCTTCGTAGCGCACGGTGCGCACCTCAAATCCATAGGTATGTGAGCTGGGGCTCATGAGGCATGGGTTCGACTCCCCACGAAGGCATGGGCTGTAAGCATGTATTGTTTTTTGCCTCTGATTCCACGAAACATTATACAATCTCAGTCTAAAGTAAACCTTCGTAGCGCGGCGTGCGCATCTCATCATCCGTACTCTATGAATCTTGGTTTATGAGGCACGGGGTTCGACTCCCCCCGAAGGCTTGTTGGTCTCGAACATTTCTCATATCTTTTTCCTCCGTGCAAGAAAGTGAGGTTTAAAAGAAGGTACAAATAAGTATAACAAGCTTTCGTAGCGCACGGTGCGCACCTCACATGCATACTTGGGAGTAGACACAGTTTATGAGGCTTAGGGTTCGATTCCCCACGAAGGCATTCTCATAATAACAAACCCTTTTTTCCCGACGAAACCCTACACGTGAGGGATGTTTACAAGAAAGTAGAAATTAAATACAATAAGCCTTCGTAGCGCATGGTGCGCATCTCAAATTCATTTGCGGGCAAAAGTTCATGAAGACCGAATTCCTAAAGATTTTGGCCCTCCTACCAAACCCTGCGAAAAGAAATTGTAGAATAAAATCAGGTGAAAAATAAGTGCAGTAAGCCTTCGTAGCGCACGGTGCACACCTCGCATCAATACATCGAATCATTTGCCAGCACGCAGTTTATGAGGCTTGGAGTTCGACTCCCCACGAAGGCATATGGTACTCGGATTTATTTTTGTCCTACTCACCCTGCAATGAAGTGAGGTTTAAAAGAAGGTACAAAATAAGTGCAGTAGGCCTTCGTAGCGCACGGTGCGCACCTCACTCCAATTTCTCCACGAAGAAATCTGATTATGAGGACCGGGGTTCGACTCCCCACGAAAGCATGTTCCCGTATTGATTGGCCCTTTTTTTGCCTCCCACCCAACCCTTCAAGAAAGTGAGGTTTAAAATCAGACACAAAGTAAGAGCAGCAAGCCTTTGTAGCGCACGGTGCGCAACTCAAATTCATGAGATGACAAAATACTCATGAGGACCGGGGTTCGACTCCCCACGAAGGCATACAGACTTCGGCTGCATCTCTTTTTTCTCCTACCACGTCGAATAAAAGAAATGGGCGAGTAAAAGACAACAAGTTCTCGTAGCGCACGGTGCGCACCTCACTCCAATTCTGCGGAAACCGGAATCTGATTATGAGGACCGGGGTTCGACTCCTCACGAAGGTATTGAGAAGAAGTCGTGAGTCATCTTTTTTCTCCACACAGCACAGAAAGTAAGGTTTAAAATCAGGTTCAAAGGAAGGTAAAATAGGCCTTCGTAGCGCATGGTGCGCACCTCAGTTTCATAGCTCAGGATTGAGTGTGTGTGATTTATTGAGGACCGGGGGTTCGACTCCCACGAAGGCATGGTTCTTTCGATTGCCTGCGCACTTTTTTGCTCTTACCCAAACCTGCAGAAAATCCCGTATGAAAAGAAGAACGAAATAGGAGTAACAAGCCTTCGTAGCACACGACGCGCACCTCGCAATCATACTACCGAGGGAATGAATTTATGAGGGCCGGTGTCCAACTCCCCACGAAGGCTTTGAGAAGTCGTGAGTCATCTTTTTTCTCCACGCAGTAAAGAAAGTGGAGTTTAAAATCAGGTTCAAAGGAAAGGAAATAAGCCTTCGTAGCGTACGGTGCGCACCCCACTCCAATTCCGCGGGAAAGGGAATGTGATGAGAGGACCAGGGTTCGACTCCCCACGAAGGCATAAGCGGAAATTGATCTTTTTTTCACTCCCCCACAAGGAAATCTGTATAAAAGAAGGGACGAACGTAATACAACAAGCCTTCGTAGCGCATGGTGCACCTCACCTCAATTATTGATCTTGGCGTCAATAAGGTACGGGGTTCGACTCCCCACGAAAGCATGGTCGAAAATATTTGGTCTTTTTTGCCTCCCACCCAACCCTTCAAGAAAGTGAGGTTTAAAATCAGGCACACAAGTAAGTAGAATAAGCCTTCGTAGCGCACGGTGCGCACCTCACATTCATGCATCGATCGCGATAACAATGGACGGTTTATGAGGCTTGGGGTTCGACTCCCCACGAAGGCTTATCCAAGTATTGGTGTTTTTTTTTTCCTCCGTGCAAGAAAGCGACGTTTAAAAGAAGGTACAAAATAAGTAGAACAACCTTTCGTAGCGCACGGTGCACACCTCACATCCATACAAAGGCGCAGTGTAAATTTATGAGGCTTGGGGTTCGACTCCCCACGAAGGCATATGATTCTCGGGTTTATTTTTGTCCTACTCACCCTGCAAGGAAGTGAGGTTTAAAATCAGGTTCAAAGGAAGGCAAATAAGCCTTCGTAGTGCACGGTGCGCACCTACTCTAATTCTGTCCCTGAGGAAATCTCTGATTATGAGGACCGGGGGTTCGACTCCCCACGAAAGCATGACTCATGTATTGATTAGCCCTTTTTTTGCCTCCCATCAAACCCTTCAAGAAAGTGAGGTTTAAAATCAGGTTCAAAGGAGCGCAAACAAGCCTTCGTAGCGAGGGCCAATAAAGTAACTTATTTCCTAACTTGGAACTTTACTTACCGCCTAATTTTGGCACGGCTAACTTTACTTTACTTACCGGAACTTTTCCCACGGGTGGTAGCAATTTACTTTACTTGTACGGTTTAAAAGCGATTTTCTCCCGGTCATTGGATGGACTTCTAAGCCAAGATATGACGAGATTTACTACAAATAATGTTAACCAATGATGTGTTTAAGCCTCATTCTCCCAAAACAACTGATAATGGACAATTTGGATATCAAGGGTTATGAATGGTATGACACCTCATAAAAATTTCAGGAGTCTTTAAATGTTACTAGACCATTAAAGAATGATTGTTTCTACCCGAAAATCTGCTCCCTGGAGCCTCTACCTGCACTGTGAGTGAATTGGAAGTATGTTTCTGCAGTTTGGATGCACCAGATGCCTCATGATAAGGTTTGGAAGTGGACACTAGGCGGGATAATGAATGCAATTATATAGACAAGTGAACGTGTTTTTCCTTTCTATTAACATCTACATTCCAACGGGAGTGCCATAACGCGTGAATTTGGCCCAATACATAGTTTACGGGTGATTTGCTTATGATAATGCTAGAGAGTCATAATTCGGGCCAGGGATTAGGTAGGCAGCAAATGACATTCATTACATACATTATGCCCTTGTTCTGACGGTGTTCTGGGCTGGCGCCAGATCTTCAACCTGGCAGATGTCAATTAATGTCAAGTTCAAGCGTAAGCAAGCAGTAAATTCATTTCTGATACGGTATTTAGCATTTCTGGTCAACATGAGTGCAGAAAACTTATGAACTTACTCTACTTTTGCTTTACTTACTGTTGCCGAACTTTACTTGTACACCCAAGCTCATCAAGCAAATGCGAACAAACTTACTTATGCGATCAATGCGATCAACTTAGGCAAAGCCGTCGTTTAACCGCAAGCACCGCACGGGTCAATGAGGCATATCTGAGAATTTATCTTGATCAATGTAAGCAGAAAGTAAAACCTCTGAACTAACTTTAGCTTTGCTTTACTCACTGTCAGTCGCTAAAGGTAACTTGCACGCCTAAATTTAAATCAAGCAAACGCGAACAATTTTACTTATGCGATCAATGCCATCAAATTAAGCTGCTCCTTTGACCCCAGGCACCACACATAGGGTGAATGAGGCAGAGTATGCACAAAGTTCAAACTTTTAGAGTCAAGACCCGTTGACTCATCAACTTATTGTTACTTGACTTGACTCGCTTTTGTGCAACAAGCGCTCCAAGTTCATCATCAAACACGCGCAAACTTACTTATCCCATCACTCCAGCCAAGTTACACCTGGTACAGAATGTGTTTCCGAGTTTGGGGCTCAATCTGAGCGTACAATGACTTATTCAATGCGGGCAACCATGAATTGTGCGGAATTAGCGGAGCTTGAGTCAAAGTATCTAATATCCGGCATCCTCTCCTTCGCTATCGAGGACGACATATCCTTTGTTGCGACGACGCACCGACGCGGTTGAGGGTGGGGACACCTGTCTTTTTAGATTTCGTGGCTGGCTTGCGTTGGAGCCGAATGGATGTGCGTGCCGGAGTCCTGTGGAACTTCCACTTCCGCCTCCCGCCCGTCCTCTGACCGCTTCAGCTTCAGTGAAGATGACCTACAAACCAATTAAACTCAGAGAATGAATCTTCGCACAGTAAATCATATCCACTCACCGGTTATCAGGTCCTTGGCCAGTGCATAATATGCATATGAAATGAAGTGTGAGCGAGACACCGCATATAAGACCAGAATCGAGGTTCGCTTGGTACTTGTCCAAACTTGTCGTCGCTTTACTGTACTTTCTGGTACTTTGCTTTACATGCCTTTACTTTACTGTACTTAACTGTTACTTTTACTTTACTTTACTTGACAAATTAACTTACCCAGCCAAAAGTAAAGTAAAGTTAATTTTGTATGGCTAAGTTAATTTGCATAAGTTACTTTGTGAACCACCCTTCGTAGTGCACGGTGCGCACCTAAATCCAGTATATGGGATTTTGTACTTTGATGAGGCATGGGGTTCGACTCCCCACGAAGGCATTCTCAGGGACAGGATCTCTTTTTTTTTCTCCTACCCAGCCCTGCAGAAGAAAATTGGACAATAAAAGGAGAGACCGGATAAGTATAACAAGCTTTCGTAGCGCGGGGTGCGCACGTCACATCCATACATCGGGAGGCAGTAGGAATCGCGAAGGTGAAATTGCCCTTTTTCCCTCTCACCCAACCTTGCAAGAAAGTGAGGTTTAAAATCAGGTTCAAGGTAGAAGCAATAAGCCTTCGTAGCGCACGGTGCGTACCTCAATTCAATATCCAAAAACTGTTGTCTCAATGAGGCATGGAAGGAAGGAAGGAAGGAAGATTACACGGCACGGTCCCGCTCAGGAACGCCGGGCCCAGGGAGTAACTAAGTATACAGGCGAGTTCGACTCCCCACGAAGGCAGTGTGGGCTAGCTGCTGCAAACTCTTTTTTCTCCCGCCCCAACCCTGCGGAAAGAAATTGTCGAAGGATCGAGGAATGCCAGTAAACCTTCGTAGCGCGGGGTGCGCACCTCACCTTAATAATTTATCTCGACGAAAGCATGGTCGAAAAATGATTTGGCCTTTTTTGCCTCTCACCTTAACCCTTCAAGAAAGTGAGGTTTAAAATCGGATTCAAGGTAGGAGCAGTAAGCCTTCGTAGCGCATAGTGGGCACCTCAACAGTGTTGGTGTCTTGCTGTTCTAATGAGGACCGGGGTTCGACTCCCCACGAAAGCATGCTGCGTCGCGTAGTTGAATTTGCCCTTTTTTGCCTCTCACCCAACCCACAAAGAAAGTCAGGTTCAAAAGAAGGTACAAAATAAGGATAACAAGCTTTCGTAGCGCACGGTGCGCACCTCACAATCATATTCAGGCGCCGCCTCCAAATCAGATGTATTATGGAACGGGGTTCGACTCCCCGCAAAGGCATGTTTTGAACCGATTGAGTTTTTCTTTCCGCCACGCAGGAAAGCGAGTTTTAAACAAAGCACACCGTAAGCACAATAAGCCTTCGTAGCGCACGGTGCACACCTCACATCCATACAAAGGCTCAGTGTAAATTTATGAGGCTTGGGGTTCGACTCTCCGCGAGGGCATGTATGGACTGTTCATTTCACCTTTTTTGCCCCTACCCAACCCAGCAAGAAAGTGGGTTTAAAATCGGGTTCAAAGTAAGTACACTAAGCCTTCGTAGCGCATGGTGCGCACCTCACATTCATCATGTGAGAGATATCAGTTTATGAGGCACGGGGTTCGACTCCCCATGAAGGCTTATCCGAGTATTGATGTTTCTTTTTCCTCCGTGCAAGAAAGTGACGTTTAAAAGAAGGTACAAAATAAGTAGAACAAGCTTTCGTAGCGCACGGTGCGCACCTCACATCCATACAAGGGCCCAGCGTAAATTTATGAGGCTTGGGGTTCGACTCCCCACGAAGGCATAGTATGGAATTCTCGGCTTTGTTTTTGTCCTACTCACCCTGCAATGAAGTGAGGTTTAAAAGAAGGTACAAGCCAAGTACCATAAGCTTTCGTAGCGCACGGTGCGCACCTCACTCCAATTCTGCCCCCAAAAAAATCAGACTATGAGGACCGGAGTTCGACTCCCGACGAAAGCATGAACGTGTATAGATTTAACCTTTTTTTGCCTCCCACCCAACCCTTCAAGAAAGTGAGGTTTAAAATCAGGTTCAAAGGAAGGCTTGTCATCAGTCTCGAATATTCCCGTATCTTTTTCCTCCGCGCAAGAAAGCGAGTTTTAACAAGGCACAAAGTAAGTAGAATAAGCCTTCGTAGCACGGGGTGCGCATCTCATTATCCGTATTCTATTACTCTTGGTTTTTGAGGTACGGGGTTTGACTCCCCACGAAGGCATGACCAGTTCGACAATTTTTTGTCCTAACTACCCAGCAAGAAAGTGAGGTTTAAAATCGGGTTCAAGGTAGCAGCAGTACGCCGTCGTAACGCACGGTGCGCACCTCAATCCAATTCTGTTGCAATGAGAATCCGATCATGAGGACCGAGGTTCGATTCCCCGCAAAGGCATGGCATGATTTCGATGAAGGTTTTTTGGCCCCCACTCAACCTGCGGAAAATTGTGGAATAAAAGGACTGAGTAAGTAGAATAAGCCTTCATAGTGCACGGTGCGCACCTCATCTCAATGATTGCGATCTCGAGCTCCAGTGTAATGAGGAACGGGGTTCGACTCCCCACGAAGGCATGATCGATTCATTTGATCGTTTTTGGCCCTACCCCGCCCTGCAGAAAATCTGTATGAAAAGAAAGATGAAGTAAGTACAGTAACCTTCGTAGCGCACGGTGCGCACCTCACTTTAATTTGTAATGAGGCACGGGGCTCGACTCCCCACGAAAGCATGTTGAGCAGTGTTGCAAGATCTTTTTTTCACTCCCCACAAAAAAATCTGTATAAAAAGAGGACCGAGGAACGACAGGAGGCCTTTGTAGCGCACGGTGCGCACCTCAATTCAATGAAAGTTCGC